TCATAATGCTTTGCTGATATACAGAAAGGTATGTGGACGCAAGAGGTGTCACTGTCCAGGGAACAGCTTGTGCTCACAGAATAGAGTCGATTTCTGTTTTCTAGATGAGTGGCTTGTCACAGTGATGTTTGTCTCAGTGATTTTGTCACAGTGATGTTTGTCTCATATTACAAACCGCTTTTAAAATACCACGGTTTTATCCATTCATCTGGTGGACCTATAGGGTGCTTCTAAAATTTAACTATTATGAATTGTGTTGTTATAAACATGTCCTCATGCATAATGGAGTACTACGCTACCATAAAGAAAGATAAACCTGATCATTTGTGGAAAAATAGATGCACCTTGAAACCATAATTTTAAGGGAAATAAATTAGACACACAAGCTTAAATATCACATGGTTTCTCTTTTATGAGAGACCCAAACTATGCATTAAGAGCAAAATAAAAGACAGTAGGAAGTAGGGTGATCTTCCTCACATGCCAGGGGTGTCAGGACGGAGGGAGGGATGAAGAAAGGAGTGAAGGGGTGTTATGCACAGGCACCTACTCCACACAGGGAGTGCAGGCGTGTACTACACGCCTGTACTAGTAACAACATCGGGGTTTACCCCCCTGAAACTCAGCGCCTTCCTCTTGAGCAATTGCTTTCTCTTTCACAATATCTATTGTGCCTTTGGGGTTTTATTTACTCTTTCAGGCTCTTACACTAGGGAGACAATACGCTGTTTACACGTGCAGGTCTGATTTATTTCACTTATAAGTATGGTCTCTAGTTGCATCCATTTACCTGTAAAAGTCTCGAGTTTATCTTTTTTATAGCTGAGTAATACTCCATTGTATAAATGGAGTACTGCTGATGTCTATTGGTTTATTGAAAGGAATAGTTAATGCCTAAATTTTTGGACCAATTTTGCATGCTTATATTTGGTAATCTGAACAACTAATTTGAAAACAACAATCTGCAATATAACAACCATTGTTGAATTCCTACTATCTTATTGAGTGAAGCACTGTATCATTTCTAACTTTATTATTATTTTTATTCTCTTTAATTGTTTGATCAATCTTACACATCTGGTAATCTGAGCAAATTCATTGAAGGTAACAATGTGTAATATAACAACCACTGTTGATTTCTATCATCTTGTTTTGAAATTCTGTATTGTTTTTATTGTTTTTGTGTTTTGTTTTTGTCTTTGTTATTTTGTTACTGTTTTTTTCTCTTTAAAATAAAAAATGATAGTGTTCTCAATGGAAAATAAATGACTATAGATATAAATTACATAAAACTCAATGCCTGTTGACTCCCTAGACTGGCAGGTACCAGACCAGTTATGCCACCTCATTATTTTAGTGGCATTTCATTTTTCAGTATCTGAAGAGAATGTCCTTTTCGCTGTCACTGCTCTGGGATTAGGTGTCAGGGAACAGGCTCATCCTTTTCCCTTTCACTAAGGTCTCTGCGCATCTCTTTCTGGAGGACTTTGGCTCCAGCTCAGACCTGATGACCTCTTGAGTGAGCACTGTGGACCACACAGAAAAAGCCTCGTGGGTGCTGTGCGGCTGTGCTGGGTGAAGCCTATGCTTCCCAGACTTCAAGGAGAGCTCTGAGCACCTGGGAATCTTGCTACAAGGCAGGACTTGAGATTCGGCACTGAGGTGAAACTGAGGGTGCCAGTTCTTGGGCCACAGTTTGCAGTACAAGGTACTAAACTAGCTAGTTTTTCTTGAGTCTGGAAAGAAATTATGGTTTACTTCTAGAGTCAAGGGAAAAGGCCTTCTTCATATTTCCTCCCTTTGTGTCCTAGTGTGTGTGTGTGATCATAAAATTCAGACTTGTTACAACCCATACTATTTGTGTTGATGTTTCCAAACAAAAATGTCCATAAGATCTATTTTAAATATAAGATCTTTTGACTTGCTCCTAAATCTATTGGTTCAAACATTTTGGTTTTTTGTTTGTTGTTTTTTCTTGGCTTTAAGTTTTTGAAAGTCACACCTCTACTGATATTATGGAGTATCTGGCTTGAAACCTCTAGAATTATCTTATGGAGTCTCTGGCTTAAAATTTCTAGAATCATCTATCAGAGAGCTGTCCAACCACCAGCCCCATCTTGGCACAAGAAGATATAAGCCTTCTTTAGTCTGTATGAGCTAAATACAGAACTCTGGGCATTAAAGGGACAAACTAATTAAAGGGATACTAATACTGCTTTGGAATTAGCTCCTTGACTTACTGACCCTATTTTTAATAAAGGTCAATTTCGGAACTTTGTAGATTTATTCAGAGCTTTCTAGTGACTACCTATATCCCTATGCATGTATAGTTATTGTCCATATCACTCATTTTTAGTCTGACAAAGAATTAATGGTACTCATAACAGGGACAAATGTAAAAGCATCTATACTGAATCCCAAGATCAAATTCCACAAAAGTAATGTAAATTACATTTAAAAAAATTGTCAGAAAGTGTTTTCAAAAGAAACAGAAATACTTTATTGACTGCCAACTCAATACAAGTAACCAGAATAGTGGTGCTCAGTCCAGGGATGCATTAGTGGAAGAGCAGCACTGGAATGAGCGGATAACGAGCTTCCTGTCCTTCCCACCGCAAAGCCGCACTTGGGCGAGTGCAGTGCTGGAGGAGGGTGCGGGACAGAGTCAGAGTGGGGGATGGCACGGTAAAGGACAGGTGGTCAGATTTACAAGCAGCAACAAAAAGGACTAGTGGGTTTGGAAGAGACAAACCGAGATGGACAGAGAGTGTTGCAGTGTGCTATGAATCCAGAGAGCCTGGAGGGATTACCTTGGAAGTATGCACCTTCCAGCTTTGGAGCAGAAGTCAGTAGAACCATGGGTGGGTGGATGGATGCATTGACAAATGGGTGGGTGGATGGGTGGGTAGATAGAAAGACCAGGCACTCTGCCAGATACACTTATACCAGGTAATTTCATTCTCCAGATCCTCTGAAATTAGTATTATCTCTGTGTGAAAACTGATAGGCGTAAGGCCTAGAGAAAATAAGTGACCTGTCCAAAGTCTCTGACCAGGCAAATCTGTACTTTGGACTGTTCACCTCTTTGTATTTCCCAGTGTGACAGCCAGAGAAGGTCACATTCAAATCCCACTAAAAGATCTCACTTGCTGGCCAGCAGCAAGCGGTGCAGGTAATTAACATCCCATCCCCTCACGACCTGCTTCTGCTCTTGATCGGAGACCACTGCTATTTCTCAGGAAGTCTAGCATCATGACAGCACAGCAGGGGGAGCAGGGCACTGCTGGGCACCTCTGCCACTTTGAGCCCTGAGGGACAGTCCTTTCTCTGGAGCTCCCGGTGAGTCACCATGGCCTTGTCAGAGCAGCTTTGCAATCTGAGGCTTGCGCTGCTCCATGCTGCCTCCTCCCCTCACTGCCACATAGGAGTTACTCTGAGTAAACCTCTTTACTCACAGCCCACCCTCATCTGGTTTGCAGTGAACTCAATGATACACCATGATTTCAAATATTTGGAGTAAGCCAGGTGTGGTGGTGCATGCCTGTAATCCCAGCCCTCTGGGAGGCTGAAGCAGGAGGGTCAAAAGTTCAAGCCCAGCCTGGATCATTTTAGCATGACCCTGTATCAAAATTTAAAAAAGGATTGGGGATGTAGCTCAGTATAAAGGCCCTGGGTTCAATCCCCAGTAGCACACACAATTTTTTTTTAAATTTGGAATACCGTAATAAGGTGGAGCATTTAGAATTGTTCTCTGTGGTGATAGAGTTGAATTAAGACAAAATAACTCAACTGCTAGAAAAACAGCTTTCACATATACGTGAGCAAGAACTTTCTAACAACTGAACTGCTGAACTGCCTGCCTCCAGGTGAAGTTCCCTATCACACGGTCATTAGGCCATGTGGAGAAGTGTCCAGCGTGTGCAGCTTGTGTGATGTGACACTCCCCACCCCACTTGCTGGAGCACTTTGGTCATTGACATCAGCAGCGCTAACTAACCAGAAAAACCAAATTGTTCAGAAAGCCACACTGGAAGCCTCAACGTCTGACTTTTCAGTGGTGCAGTGGGTTTGATGTGATTTACCCACACCTATCTACTTCCAGGCAGTTTGGCCATACTGGAGACCAGGTTGGCCATTGTCCACAGGTTTTTTAACCAAGGAACCCCTAGCAAATGGGGCAAGGCTGTGGGCTGGTTGTCTCCTGATCTGTCTGGTGAGATCAAAGCAAACTCCACAAACGCATAGTTTAAATAGTCTAGCTCAAGGTGTACCATCTGACAGTGTTCTTGGGACTCTACTGGCACATGCTTCTCAGGCTCAGTAATGCGGACCCTACGGCCAGAAGGATGCTCTTTCCCCTAAGCCGCTGTCTCTTCCCTTCCTTCATCAAGACACAGGCACACCAAGGAGTGGGCACTTATGGCTCTTTTCAAGATTGCCATGATGGTCAAATTACATACATCATCATGCATATCAGGCAGTAAAAACGCAGTGGCAGAGAAAACTGGAGCTCATCAGCATGAGGACCTCCGCGGAGGGAGGCAATCACTACGTGTGCAAATGTGCACTGCGCACCTGCCCAGGGTGGAGCTGTCTTGCAGGTGCTGGACATACAAGGACATGACCCATAGAGTCCACAATGCCAGGAAGCTTACATTTAAATGCCGTGGAGAGGCTTGCCTGGCCATTCACTGAGAGAAGCTATCAAAACCTTAACCTTCCACAGTGACCGTAAGAGAAGTTCCTCAGAGCCTCCAAACTATGACCTATGCCCTCTCTCCTCACCCTCAAATTTCTGCAGCATCCCTGACAGTTTTAGTCTACATTTTCAGGAAATATTTTATATTAATAGTGCTCTGACTTAAATTTATAAAATTTGCAAGAGGAATTTTTTTTTCTTTCCAGAAAAGCAAGCTCAGCAATATTTGGGGGCTTTTAGAGCTGATGCTGCAGCTGACCTACTGGAGAGAAGGCAGGGGGAGGGCCCAGGAGGGTCTAAATAAATAAGAGTCCCCGGTGCTGCAAAGCCACGGCTCAGCTCCGGGAAGAACGCACCCACCGCCAGGCAGCATGAGGCTCCAGGCTGCCGCTGTGCTGCTCAGCGTGCTCATCGGCAGCCTCCCTCCAGGCCAAGGTGAGAACTTGCCCTCGCACTGAGCTCTCCTGTCAGCAGAACCGCTCTGCAGCCGGTTCCCTTTTTTAAAACCTTTCAATTAAAAATTAGGGAAGTCTGAGTAAAAGGGGAGAAGCTGCTTCTAGATTTCTAAACATAAGGTGCTTAAGGGGGTCTGGAGTAGAAAGTGGAACTTTTATATTAAGATTTTTATTTAAAGAAGGAAGAGGTTCTGGAAGTCCCGTGTTCATGTGACTTGTATTTGATTTGTGTATCCCTATCCCTTTCAGACCGTGCCCTGCTACAATAAGTGTTCATTCTGCTCCTCACTACACACTGACCCTTTACAGGGTTTAAAATGATCAGTGTCAGCCAGTCTCCTGCAGGGAACATTTATCAGTCCTTGTAAGCACACCTGGGACAAACGACAGACATTCTGCCAAAAGGCAGAACGGCCTCTAAGTGGGGCCGCGATCTGTGCGGGACTAGATCAGTATGTAGTGGTTGTCGTGCTTACGTGGCTGAAAGAAAGGACGCAGGCGCAGAAACATCCAGGTATAGAAGATACATTTCTATTCTTAAAATGCAGTGCTTCCCCCCGTTTATATTTTGCTTCCTATGTTCTTTTCATTCTCTAAAAACTCTCATTTCTCTCCTACTGCATGAAGCTTTCCTACTGCTCCTGACAAGTTTATTAGTAGCGAGGATACCGTGCAGAGACTGGGTGTAATACCACCTGCTGTGGCATTTTTGTTTTTGTTCACTTGTTCTCCCCACTAAACTATGAAAGCCCTGCAAGTTGGGCCATTTTGTTTACAAATGCCTGTCAGGCAGGATGGTAGGCACTGTGGATAAATAGAATCTTTTTTAAAAAAGAAATGTAGATTCCATTGAAATACATGAGGTGAGTCCCTTAGAAAAAATATCTACAAACAACTTTTATTGTTGAATGAAAATAGCCTTAAATTTTTACAATTGGTTTTTTCCCTGGTATTAATTTGCAACTGAGATAGAGAACCAACATATTTGGTATTAAATAAATACCCAAAGAAGAGCATTTTTGTGACTTTTTTTCTAATAGGAGCGGAGTGGTGCAGATAAAAGAGAGACCTCTATTCCAGGCGTGGCTCTGAAGCTATTGCTAACCAGACCGCAGCCTCTGGTTTCATGTGCTGGCATTGAACATCCATGGATTTTATATTGCCTCTTTTTTTCTTTCCTGGTACCAGGAATCAAACCCAGGACCTTGTGCTTGCCAGGCAGGTGCCTGTGCCTGAGCTATATCCCTTGCCCAATATTGCCTTAACCATAGCTGAGTTGTGTGTCCCTAAAGTAGTAGTTGTCAATTTTTAGTATATAAACAATCACTTAAATAGCAATATAAAGTGACCACAAATTTCAGAAAGCATTATGCTTCTTAAAAACTAATTTTATTTTTAAGGTTTTGGTAGTATATATTTAAAAATATCCAAGCCAGGACAAATGAAAACATACAAACTAAAGGCATATATGGGTGAATGTACCAGCTTGATTCTTATTTTTTCTTATATAATTTATTTGGTAGTGGGAATTAATACAGGGTCTTCATACTGAGCTGTATCCCTAGCTCTTTTTTTATTTTTTATTTTGAGACAGGTTCCTGCTATAACTTTAAGCTGCCCAGGCTGAGCTCAAACTTTTGGTCCTCCTGCCTCAGCCTTCCAGGTTGCTGAGATGATAGGTGTGCAACACCATGCCCAGCCAACTGGAAATTTTCAAATCGTCAAATGCAGAGTATGGATGTTTGCTTCATAGTTACAAATTCTATGCCGAAGGGATTTAAACAGCCAGTCCTGTGTTCACAGCTATCCTGGAGGCCTACAACACAAACCTGAAGTGTAGCTGTAGCAAAGTGACAAGTACCATCCGCGTTCAATACATTCTTCGCCTTCAAGTTCTACCCCCTGGGAACGGTTGCCCAAACACAGAAATCATGTAAGTTGCAAGAAAAAAAATAAGTAAATATGATTCCTTTTTCCCAGTGAAAGTCAGATCAAATGTTGCTATAAGGGCTGATAATCATCTTAGGGTTTTACTCAAATGTTGCTAAAATTCTGAAACTAATAATGAGCATCAGTAATATTTAAGGACTTCCCTCGCAGCAGCTGCAGACAAAGTGCTTTACACTGGCTTGCACCTTCATTTTTCTCTTTCCCCTGTTCTTTTAAGCTGTGCCTGTTGTTTGCATCCTTTGTTATTATTGATGCAAAAACAAAAACAGAGCCAGGTGTGGTGCCACAACACTGAGCAGCAGCCCCAGTCACCATGAGCTTTTCAGGCTTTTGGAATGTTTGTAATCTGCTACTTTTTGTTTGTCCTATTTTGATACCAGTGATTTGTGCCTAACGTATCAAACAGAAATATAGGATATCAGAAATGTATATGGAATTTTTCACTAAAAAGGCATTGTAGTTTCACCCATGTCTTCACCAGTGAAAATTCTAACTCAAGGACAGTTCTTTCCCGCAAAGACAGAAAGTCTCACCAGGTCACGCTGGAAGCAGCTCTCCTGGCTGTACAGCACAGCTGGGCTCTTTTCGATTCCATTTCCCCTGTCAGGACTTAAGCTTCTCACCTCTCACCCAAGGGTAGTAATGCTCCCTAATTCTCTCTGATTTCTCAAACTTAACGTCATCCTTTTGAAATAAGAAAAAATTTGACTATACCTTCTTGTCAAATTCTGCATTTCTGAATTTCAAACAGTTATAGAAACAAAAGCTGTGGCTTTTTAAGAAAAACTCAAACCAATCAAGAGAGAAAACACCAAATGGTTTGAAATGTTTTTCCATCTTGAATTCAGAAAGGAACTCCAAAGATGCTCCTGAAATCCCACCTGAGCTATGACTTCTGACTTCTGTTTCACTGACAAAGATGGAGCTTCAAAGTTCAGTGGATGGAGCCATCTGTTTGTGGATTTATAGCTAAGATAACTGATATGCAAAGAAATCATGTTTTGAGGTCACACCAGGAAAGGGCAGAGCCTCCCCCTTAGCACCATGTCTGGCCCTTGGTAATGACTCAGGTCAGGTTTGTGGAAAGCAGTGACTGAAGGTGTGCGTTCTGGAATTACAATGTCTTCATTTGCATCTTCCTCTATCATGCATTTGCTGTGCCATCTTGGATGAGTCCTTTGAACTGTCTAAGCTTCCAGATTCTCATCAGACAGTAAAGACATAACTGTTTCCCTAGCACAGGATTTTCACAAGGTGAAACTCAGGTGGTTCATGGTTCCCAGCTGAGCACAGTGTGTACCATGTTGTGCAGTGTGGTATTGATTAACACGGGCTGGTAGTGATCATTGCTGCTTTTGTTATAGCCTAATTTGTTAGAACAGGGAAAGTCTTGCTAACTGCTGGTTCAACAAAGTGTCACTTGGAGCCACCACGCTCTGCAACCTCTCCCATCTTAAATTTTACTGATTTGTTTTTCAGATAAAAGATCTTTAGTGTGGAGTGCTTTCTATAAACTATTTTGTCCTTCATTCATTCATTCAATCCCTCATTTTGCCAAGCTGGGGACTGAACTCCAGGCCTTTACACTGAACTACATCCTCAGCCCTTCCCTCCCTCGCTCCCTTACTTTCTTCCTTCTGTTCTTCATTCCATTCTTTCTTTCTTTTTCTGTTCTTTTCCTTTTAGGGTCTTACTAAATCACTAAGTTGCCCAGGCTGAGCTTGAACCTGCGATCCTCCTGCCTCAGCCTTCCAGAATGCTAGAACTACAAGATTCTACAGGTCATCACACCCAGCTAACAAGCATATTTTAAAGATACTGTATTGTGATATAACTTCAGAAGTAAGCCAAACTTGAGGTCTGCTCTTTGGTCCATCTCCAACTTGCAAAGGTTATCAACAAAACACTAGTCTCTGACATGTGAGATTCTGTCAACTTTGGATTCATCTACCAACCCTCACCTATCAGTCCACAAATATTCAGGCTTCAGCTTTTTTAATATTCAGTCTTCATGCCATAAATCACCTATTCCAGATCCAAAACTGCTCAGCTCCAGTTTCATTTCATCTAACACTAATTATTTTCACACCAACTGTTTCTATTATTTAAAAGTGCGGGTTTGACGAGATGTATCACTCTTCCATTTTTAATGTTGCTTCTTTTCCCCTAGAGTCCATTTGAGGAATAAGTTGACCATATGCTTGAATCCTGAAGCCCAGCGCGTGCAGAAGCTCATAGCATACTTACAGAGGTAAGTTGGGCACAGCAGGGCTTCCAGACTCCCGTCGTCACTAACATTTGCCTTTCCTGGGCAACCAAGATGCAGAGCATTTCAAATGTATAAATTCTAAGACAAATGCCTGTTTTCCTCCTACTACTGGTCACACAGAGTAAGGGAGATCCATTCCAGCATTTCAGTAAACTCAACTGGAAACTAGTTCCTTGTTTGCTACTTCTGGGGGAGAGTGTAGTTTCTTCCTGGTATTTCTCTAAATGTGGCCTTCTTTGTTTTTGTGTCCATTTCACAGGAAAAATTTACGTTCGACCGCACCAGCTCCAGTGATGAAAAGGGGCCCCTGACGCCCCCTACAAGCACCTGCCTTTGCCCTGTATCCCTGCTCTGGATTTCAGTTGCCTTCTTGGTTGAATTTTTCCCAAGAAAAATAACTCCCTTATATAAATGAGTGTGAGGCTCTCTGTAAAAATAACCTTGCCTAATCTGATGGAGCAAAGTCAAGCTCCTTCCCATGCAGACACCTGGAATTTCCATTGTTATTCTTGAGGGAGGAAAGGTTCTTTGAGGAGAGTTTAAGCTGTAAATCACATAAGATTTGTTGATAATATACTTGTTGTTTAATGCTAAACTCTCCTAAAAGGTAGGAGAGTGGGAATTTAAATCTCAAACATGAACATGTAGCTTGAATTAAGAAGAACATTTTCAATCATTTTCTACTCTAAGAAAAGCAAATTTCCTTGGAGACTTGAAAAACTACGTGGGAAACAAATGGAGCTTCAGTGTGACAAGGCCCAAGAGGTTCACATAGCAGATATAAAAACCACTCTTAAGGGGCATGGGGTGGTACTCCTACTTTTAAAGAGTTCCTTTATAAGATGCATTGTCTCAGATTAAAACAAATAACATTGAAAGATCCTCAGACTTAAGATTCTAGTGAAGGGTAATGTTCAGCTGTATTCGTTTACACATTTGTCTTGATGGACTTTTCTACTCACATCATTTGCACAAACAAAATACCAATCCCTGGAACCAAATTCTTTAATGTTTCCTATTCATCTAATGCTAGTCAATAAACGTGAGCAAACATTTTACTTCATCATGAGCAATTCATTCCTAACAAAACATTTATTCAAGATATTCTGTGGCTCTTCATAATGCAAAGTAAGATTTGAACTTGCTGATTTTTCTGTGTGTATCACAGATCTAAAATTGCACCAGAGGGGCTGGGGATTTAGCTCAGCGGCAAAAGCGCCTGCCTGGCATGCGCAAGGTCGTGAGTTCAGTTCCCGGTACCAGAGAAAAACCAAAAAAAAACCAAAAATAAATAAATAAAATAAAATAAAATTGCACCAGAGGTAGGAGTTACTCAGTGGGAAATGCTTGGCTATGGGAGCCTCTTTCCCTGACATGCTAATCAGGATTTCCTTTAGAACTGAAACTCTTCCTCAAACCCATTCTCACTGTCTCTTTATATTGATTCTTCAAGTCTCCAATGTTTTATTTGACAAAATTTTGCACTGAATTTGACAAGCAGCAGCAGAAGACACTTAAAATGTTTTGGGAGGGAATAAAAAGTAGCTATAAATACTATATTTTGTATTGTTTACATTTTTATTACAGATACATGCAATGGGATTATAAAGTGTCATAAAAATTCAGCAATCTAGTGTTTTTCAGACTTCAGTGTTTAGAGATCAGAAATCATTTGTAGGCTTTGATTTTGGTCTTCTTAGAGAATGTAGCTAGACACATACTCACGAGCCTCAAAAAAGAAATACGGCCATTTCCCCTGAGGCTTTGGCACCCCCCACTTTTTGGCAGGGGAAGTTAGAACCCAGTGTAGTGAGGTAACTGGTATAAAGCCTCACAGCTACGGTATGACAGACATAAATTGGAGGCCAGGCCATACGGAGCGCACCAGAATCCATGCTTCTAATCACTGCATCATACTGATTCTGAGGAGGGAGACTTCATCAGTAGAAACTGAGGCAAATAGACATTTGCTTCCCTAGTTCACATAACTAGTAAGAGACAAACCAGGATTCAAACCAGGGCCATCTGACTCCTAGTTGGATGCTCTGAATCATTACACTAAATTGCGTGCAATTTTCTCTTCCCTAGGTATATTTCTGGCCTTTTCAAGGCCAACAAAAGCCAGGGGATACTGCACAGTGGAGTAACTATAGGTAATAACATAGTGTGTATTTTTTTAAACTAGAAGAGAGGAGTTGGAACATCTTCACCACAAAGAAATGATGAATATTCCCAGGAGATGTGCTTGCTCTGATTTGAACATTACACAACATACTCATGTATTAAAGTATCACATGGTCCTCAGTAAATATGTACAGTGTTTATGTATCAATTGAAAAGAAGAGACCAAGGGAATTAGGGAAGTTTCAGCAGCTTCAAGATTCCCTGGGTCAAGGCAACCAGCGCGTGTGGTCCAACCCTAGAGGGATCCAGGCAGCTGTGAGGCAGTGAGGCAGGACAGATGTGCAAAAGGAAACAAGACAAAGCCAGTGAGGGTGTCAAAACTGTTTTTGTTACCATACAAACACTCATTTCTCAAAAGTCACAGTAGATGAGGGGTAGTCAGACTGATTTGGAATGAGGAGCTTAAGCCACAGTTAGATGAGGCAAGTTTATTGAACCAGTCAGTAGAAGGTCTGAGGAAAGGTCTAGAAGGGAAGAACTGTGGTCTAAGGGAGAATTTAGGTCGTTATAAATACGTACATGTACATACAAGGTAATTAAAACTTGAAGTAAATGAAGTTGAAGGGAAAATAGAAGGTAATGCTGACCAAAGCAAAATGGCTGACTCTGAGAAAATGAACAAAGGTGCTAGTGGCCAAGCTGCACAAGGGTTTCCCGGCAGGTGGGGCAGGACACTGAAGCCAGTGGTGCTGAGCCTCGATGGCACCCCAAACCCATTCCAGCAGCAGAGGCTGTTCCAATGGCAGGGCGTGGCCTTGGCCTCACTGGAATGGCTTGTCCCACTGTTCAGTGCCCTCTTGACTACCACCTTCCATGCCCTTCCTTTCAGCCAGCTGCCTCCCACTGAGCTGTGCCATTTTCCTGCTCATAAGTGTATGGAAGTGTTGGCGCATATCCTGGGGCTTCCTTGCTCTCCTGTAAGGTCTGGTGGTGTTTTGGAACACAATTAGTGTGCTGGTCTACAAAAGAAACTCAGTGGAACTTAGAAGGAAGAAGAGGCTTCTGAAGTCAGAAAGGTGACACTCAAGAGGGAAATCAGAGCATGTGTGACCCACAAGGATTCTATTTCTCTGTGTGTGCTCTAAGGAGCACCACCCACCATCCCCAGACCCTTGTTAAAATACCTCTTCTCCTGCCCCTCACCAGACCGACTGAATCAAACTCTGGAAAGGAGCTCACCATTCTGCATTTAACAAACTGTGATATAATTTTTAAAAATAAACTACATTTGACTTTTGTCTCTGGTTCCTGCCAAAGAGCACCTTAAAACCCTTAGAATTTTGAGCATCATAGAAATGTCTATTATTTATACTGAAGCTTGAAAAAACACTGTTCAGCACTCTAGAGCCATCTAACCAGTTTTTTCTTATATCAGGTTAAGTTGTAGCTTATACACAGCAAAAGTCATATTCCCTGAGGTTTCAGTTCTATGAAGTGGTTAGGGCAGCCCAGATGCTGTTTTGTTCCTGTAGTTTCACCTTTTCCACTATACAATGCATGTAAAAGCAACCATACAACCTACTGCCCGGTTTTGCTCACTTTTGCTTTGCATAATAATTTTGAGATTCATCATTTTGTTGAATGTATCACTAGTTTGTTCCTTGTTGTATATCCTCACAAAGTAATAATGGTAACAAGTGGCTTATTCATTCACTAGTGAGTAGATTTACAGCTGTTTCTGGTTTGGGGATATTAACAATAAAACTGTTGTCAACATTTGTGTATTGGTCTTTCTGAAAACGTATGGTCTTGTATGTCTCTGGTAAAGGAGAAAATGTTTAGTCTTTGGTAGATGCTTAGAAGTAAGGTTTCTGGGTCAAATGGTAAATTTGACTTTAGAAGAAGCTGTTAAACTGCTTTGTCAAAGCTGAAATACCATTTTGCATCCCCATCAGCAATATGAGAAGACTGGGTAATTCACATCTTCTCCAGCACTTGCTATTGTTAGCCTTTTAAATTTTAGACATTTTTAATAGGTATGTAATCTCTCATTGTCTTAATTTGCTTCTCTCTAACAGCTAATGATGTTGAGCAGTTCTTGTGTGTATTCTTGAGATCGATGTATCTACATTAGAAATCTACTTTATAGGAAATCCTTTTTCCATTGAGTTACATTGCTAAGGTTGTCAAAGAGAAATTGACCATATATGTATGACTCTCTCTAGACTGTCTGTTGTCTATCATCAATTCGGCTGTCTATCCTCATCAAATACGACTTTGTACTTTTTCAAAAGTGTTTTGGCTATTCTAAGTCCTTTGCTTTTCCATATAAATTTCAGAATCACCTTATCAATGTTCAGCCCCAACCCACCCACCAATACCCAAAAAAGAATTTTGAATGGGATTGTGTTGAATTTGTAGGCCACTTTGGCAAGGGGTGGGGGTGACATTTTTATAATATGAGTCTTCCAGTTTATGAACACAGCATATCTCTCTCTATGAGACTTCTCTAATCTTCCTCATCAGTGTTTTGTAAGCATTCACATTCAGATCTTGTAGCACCCCCAATGCCAAACTACAAGCTGTAGCTTTTGTAGGATATTCACCTGTAGGGAAAGACAGGCATTTGTGTTCACTACTTACCATTCATATCATTTGGGAAGTGGTTTCCAATTTTAATGAAGCAATATTGCTCCCTCTCTCACAAAGGAGTGAGTCACTCCTTGTGGCTGGAATACCCCAAATCTCCCTGACTGGGTATGTAAGTCTACTCGAGTCTCCTCCCACCCTTCTCAATTCCCTTTCAGTTCGTTAGAGCTGTTACCCACCCTCCTCACTGCACCAAAGCCGATCTCTCTGCGTGTGTTTTCAGTCACATCCCTTTTCACCACCTGAGGAGCCACATACTATTGATTGTAATAACACCCTCCAATCTGTTCTCTCCCATACCATGGAAACACAGTCTAGTCTTGTCCATCTTAAAGGTAACAGACAAAAAGCCTCTGCCTGGTCACTTTCTGGCTAAGGACTGATACTTGCCAAGTCTCATACTCCATAGTATCCTCTAAATTAGGATTCCCCACCATCACTTCCCCCCAAACAACTGTCAATAAGTTCACCAATGACCATGATAAATTGGTATCAGTCAACTATTTCTCAGGAATGCTAGTTGAGTTCATGGTTTACAAGTTTTTGTCCATATGTCTTCAGGTCAGCTAACGTTCATCTGACTCAGTTGAGTTTGACAGGGATTAACTCAGGCCGTTTGCTTGGTGCAGATCTAGCCCATGTGTCTCTCATTTAGGGGAATCCGATGGTATTCAGTATATATTCTTGTCATGGTAATGGCAGATATCCAAGAGAATTAACCAGAAACATACCATGCCTCTTATGATCTAGGCTCAGAGTTATCAACCTGTCATTTCTACTCATAGTTTTTCAAATTGACAAAAAATTAGCTGTATGTAGTTACAGGGTAAAATGTGATGTTATGACACGTGTACACATTGTGGAATGAGTAAATCAAGCTAATTAACATCTCTAGCATATCTAACATTTCTTTGGTGAGAATCTTTAAGCTCTCCTCTTTCAGCAGTTTTGAAATATGCATCATTAACTATAATCACTATGCTTAGCCAAAGCAAGTCACAAGCAAACTCAATATTAGCTGTTTGGAAAGTTGATCTCACCTCTAGCATAACTGAAAGATTGCAAGGGGCACAGGTACAGAGAAAGGTAAAGAGCTGGGAATAATAATGAACTTGCCATCGTTGCGAAGTATAGGGATCATTGTTTCTTGCTTATTTTATAGAACTCAAAAGGAGTTTTAGGAATGGAGGGTCCATCTGCAAAGTTTATCCCCCTTTCTTATGATTTAGATCAAAAATGTCCCCCAGAATTTTCATATGTTTGGAAGGCGATTGGGTCTGGGAGTGTTGACTCATCTGTGGATTTATATATTGATGAATTAGTAGCTAAATGTGCTGTTAGGAAGAGGGCCTGGCTGGAAGCGGTCCCTCGGGGTGTGAACTAGAAGGGTGCACTCTCACCCTGCCTCTCTCTTCTCACTCTGCTTCCTAACTGACACCTTTTTCTCCACCATTCCCGGCTACCATCCTGTTTCTGCCTTGGGTTCTACCTAACCACGGATGCACACTGTGAGCCAAAGTCAGCCCCTCCTGCTTTAAGTTGTGGATGCTGGGTATTTTGGCCCAACAACAAGAAAGTGACCAAGGCACCTTAAACCTTAGAATGACACACTTCTGGCCTCTTTTATCTTTGTGGCCTTCTGGCCTCCTCAGATTTCCTTTCAGGTTTATCCTTCTTTCTCTGGCCTCTCAATGACAGATAGGTTTACTTGATTCTTCTTTTATCACTATATACTTTCTTCTCAAGAAATATCCTCTAACACCAGTGCCTTCATTGCCATGTAA